TAGGCCAGGGTTCTTATACACAGCAGGTTTTCCAGAACTTTTATTAGCAAGTTACACCTTGAGGCGAAACTAAACCCCCCAACTTTCTATTATAAATGTTACAATAAAATGTTCCTTTGAGTTTTCCTAAAGCTCAATGTTCCTTCTTTCTTCCCATTCCAAGTCATTCTTTCTGCAGTGTATACGGATTTGATACAGTCAGATTACATGGAAAATGTGTTTTGCTGCAGACATATTGGATATTAGGTATTGTTACAAGGCATTTTTTATGGCTAGGCTTGCAGGACCAGTGTAACAAGGTGATAAAGAAAAAGATTCCTTGCTCTTACAATGCAATACTGTAGTCATGGCTATTGCTATTCCTGCATGATGCATGTGCGCTGATTTTATTTGTACAAGTGCTGGGTGCAACGAAGCTCCAGTATGTTACAACTGGGGACTGGGAGAAGAAAGAGTCAAATGATTTTTCAGAACATTGAAGAGACATAGGCAGGGATGATCTTGCAATGAAACTGTTCCTTGTAGCCTGCCTGTGTTTCTTTTCACCCACTGTTGTGGTTAGGCCACCTAACAGTGATGTTCTTGGTTCATATGTGCAACACCACAAAGCTGATGCAGCTATATTAGGTCTTTGTCCTCTGCATTTCCACAGTGTGGTGCACAGCAAAGCCAGGCTTTCAGAATATGTACACATCAAACTAGATAAAATACTGTTGTACATGTGATTTCCTTTTGAACGTTAGTGCATTCCTGGCAGCTAGAAGTGATTACAATTAGAGAAAATGAACAGAAACCCCTTTTGTCCTCCGCATTGCCACTAGGCAAGTCACTTCAGCATAGATTTCTGGACAGTAGGCTAGCTCAGGTGATGGGGATGTTTGAATTAGTTAAGAAAGTGCTTCAATATATGCTGGTTGCTAACCATAGGCTTTAAATATTTTCTGAAGCAGACTGCAAGCCTAGGTGAAAAATGCAAATGGTGGCATGTCCTTACTGCATAACTTCGCACAGCCCTTCCTGCTCAGAAAGGATTTAGTGACAGCATGACCAACACTTCACTGTGCACCAGAATAAGGAATAAGACTAAGACTAAAACTAAGATTAAGAAATAAGAAACTTAGGGAAGGTGCACATGTTTGTTCTTGCAGTTTGCCTTTGAAGGTTTTTGTACAGACATCTGCTTACTGAATGTGTGATGCTGTCAAGTAGCCATGCAACCACCCCCACTGCTGTTTTTAACACAAGTTTCCCCCTAATTTTCCATTCTGTATATGCTTCTATGTTTCTGGATCTCTCCTAGTCTGAATTACTGTATTTCTTACCTATGCAATACATGAGTCTCACCTACACACTATGCATCTAAGGCAAAAGGGCTCTATCTGAACATTCCCTTTGGGCCTTTGGGTTGAGAAGCTGTGGACAGTGCAGAGCCACTTTCTCTTTGGATTCCATTTCACCCAGGTCTGTAGAAAAGCAGAATTCTCATGTGAGAGGATCAAGGCAAGTGTAGGAAGCACGATGTCCCACAGCTAACACCTGGGCTCCTATGGAGCTGCAAAATTCACTGCAAATCTCTGTCAGGCAATGGATTTTCTAGCAAACTGATACTTCTCTCCTTTTACAGAATCATTAAGCAAACATCAAAAATGATGAGAGTTTTGCTTGGCCCGTTTCCTATGGCAGCAAAGCATCTTCCTAGCATTGCCCCTCCTCCTCCCCAACATACTGTATGTTTCATTGTTGTTGAACTAGGTTATCTAGAGGTCAGTAGGCTAACAGGGTGTTTGGATTTCCTAAAATTGTGCCTGTCCTTAAACGTGGCAAAGTGGATTGTTTACATACCACCCCTTGAACCTGGACCGCACACTAAAAGCTGCACACAATGCTGCTATTTCTGATTCTGTGCTCCCTTCCCCCTAGATGTAGGTATTTCAGCTTTCAGGGGGGGCTCATTAAGGTTCATAAAACACAGCAAAGAAACTGGCTGGAGACACTCGTAATTCTACAGGTCCACCATGTGGGATATGCAGTAAATAAATAAATAAAAGCATAGCTAGAAAGAGATGTCCTCAATAAAAGACTTAATTGAAAGCAGCCCTGATGGTCAAAATGGTATCGAGAGGAAGGAACTACTGTGACACTCAGGTTTGCGTTTGTTTCCTCCGACACTGATTTCCTGTATGGCTTTGAGCGAGGCACTTAATTTCTTCAGAGGTCCATTTCCTACCCATAAAATGGGGATAATAAGACTGCTTTTCTTTTATTGTCTTTTATCTTACCTATTTGGACTGTGAGTCCTTCTGCACAGGGCTTGTCTCTAACTAGCTAACTGCTGTGGTTTAACTAACACTATGCATCCGAATGGTTGTTTTAAGGTACCAGTGTTACACTGTCAGAAGCCAGGCAGTATCTTTGCTCTTTTCTGCTGCTCTGGGGTTTAAGAGGGTTTTATTATCAAGTGCAGGACTGGGTGTTAGATTCTGTTCTTCTTCGTAGGCCAGCCAGAAAGCCCCTTTGCAAGAGCTCACTTCAGTCACTGAGACCAATGTGGGGGCTTGATTGAGAACTACTTTATTCTTATTTACCCCAGTGTACTTCCACTGAAATAATTTCAGTGGTTTTACAGGTTTTGCTTTTTTATTTTCTTCTGTGTTTTCTCAGTAAAAATATACCCATCAAAGACTGGCCCAACTCATATTTTAAACTGGAAACTTTCCACTAATGTCAACAGCTTTGGACTGACTACTAGAAACAAGAAAGAACCTACTCCAAAAATAATTTTTAACTTCTAAACTAGTTATAACCATGAAAAAGCCCTAGTTGCAGGGAGTGACATTTGTATGGCTTTGTGCTCTTCTTAAATTCAATATTCAATCTCAATCTTAACTTTGGCTTCTGTTCCATCTTGAAAATATAGCATGTGCACATAATATTCATTGTACGTTTCCTTTTCTGCCATAATAGCAATAGAAATCCCACATTACAAGTTCACTTACTTGGGATTGTGACCCAAGCATTATATGTAAGAAAGACAATAGGTGTATGGGACTGAAATTTTGGGGCAGAAAAGTCAGGAGTTAGTTTTGGAAATGCTGAAATATCATAGGAATTTTCAAAATTTCTATGTCTGCCTCAAGGGTACAGAAAGTTAAGGAACTCTTACTGGAATACTGAAAAACATGTACTAAATTAAGCTTATGAGGTTCACATCATTCTGTCTTTTTGTTACAGCTTCATATTCTTTCCCTTCTTCTGTGCATGCCTGGTACCCAGCTGGGAACCACCCAGGATCACTGTGGTGAGCACCAAGTAGTTCAAGGAATCCATCTGCATTCTGAAGAAGTGGACTATGTGGCAAAATAGTAGCCATTCCTTACAGCTAATGCCTATCATGTCCACTTTTAATTGTGCCTGCATCAGAAGAGTGCAGAAAAGGTTGCTATAACATTAGGAATTACAATAGGGACTAAGAACCTAGTATCCACCCCAAACATACATTATATAAACATGAGGAACCACTTAAGGACCACCCCCTGCCTGCTATGCTGAAGAGACTGGTCTAAGAAAACATAAAGAAGGTGGATACAAATGTTCTGAGCCTGAACAGCACAGTTATTTTCAATATACTGCTGATTAAGGCAAACCATGAAAACAAGGATGGGCCAAACACTGAGGTTGTGACTGTGTTGGGGGGCTTTCTATGGCTTGCAAGCAGAGGGGTTGTTGTAGTGCTTGTGTGTAACTTTTAGAACTAAATGGCTAATGAGTAGATGTAGTGTGAGTTGTCCCTATGTCTTCTGGTTAATCTGGAAAAGACAGGAGTTATCTTTAGCAGAAAGTGGTCTGTCTGAAGGTCATTGTTGATTGTGTTTTGGAGCATACGGTTTAGTTCTTGGTATCTTTGAAGTTAAAGTTGAGTGATTCTTTATTACTATGCTGTTAACTAAAACTAATTGAGGCAGAGGGTGTAAGACAAGTAATGGTTTTCAGGGAACCTCTGAAGGACTTTTCCCAGAAGGAGAAGGAGGTGCCATGAGTGCACTGGCTAAAATACTGAGAGAAGAAGGGTTGTTGTTGGACAGAGGGGCTGTTGGTGATTTGTGGCTGCCTTCTGAAGGGAACTAGCCCTCAGACTGCTTCCCTGTTGTTCTGGCTAGTAGGACAGATCCTTAGGCCACAATTGGAGATACTTCCATTCCCGTCATGGGAAGATGAGCTGTAATGGTGTTCCTCTGAGTGCTTTTAATTAGGTCAGTTCAGAGGTCCCACAACCAGGTGTGACTCTTCCCAGGCTAGAAATAAGTCTGAAGCTTAGGAAAGTCACAACTTCTGTCACTACTTTAAGCAGAGAGCCAGGCAGGGATTGATAGATGCCAGAGGGGAATGATGCTGAGCAAAGGGGCCTAACAGAGTTGCTCTGATCTAGGCTTGAAGGGAGAAGTCATAAGAGTCCACATGTAAATGAGTATCCTGGCACCTGTGGAAGGGATAGTGGGGAGCTGTATGGAAGCCATTAGAGAAACAGGACTGAGAGCAATAGGGCAGTGAGCTGAGCACTTGACATCTCTCTACACTAATGCCAAGAGTATGACAACAAAAAAGAAGAATTCAAAGCTTTAGACCACAGCCAAAGCTATGATATAAGAGGTATCACAGAGGCCTGGCAGATGGGTTGTATGACTGCTATATTAGAATGAATTGCTTTGGAAGAAAGATGGGGAAACGTAAGGGAAGAGTTGCACTTCATGCCAAGAATACAAATACTTTCTCCAGAGGAGAAGGGATGAGTGGCAAGTTTACTGACTGCTTCTGGGTAATAAAAGATCCAGAAGTCTCTTGGAGGTCAGAAAACTGAGTGGAGAGGTTTTATTAAAAAATATAACACGACAAAACTAATCAAATTGTTGGAGAGTGCTGAGAATATTTAACTGTGTAGGAATGTGGAGAAGGCAGTAAAAGAAGATGTCATTATATTTCTGGCTTTTATTGTTTGGAGGAACTCACAAAGAAGCTGAAGTTCTGAGGAAATTTAAATGAAGAGGATCACCTGAAATAGCTTGAAAACGGTGGTAGTGGAGCACCTGGCCTCCAAGGAAATGAATATGTTAAAGCAATAGAGGGTGACAATAGACTTGAAAAAAAGTAGTCCTAAATAGGCTACTTAGTGGGACTGCTTTGAGAAGATACCTGGCTTCTAGATCAAAGAAAGTAATGAGTATTAACTGATTTGTTTCCCACTTCTTTGCTCCTTTTCAGTTCTAAGCATCTATTTCCCCTCTTACAACACTGGTTCTGTGTACCACTGAATTTGTCTGTCATCTTGAGGTTTTTAGCATTTTCTGTATCCATAAAATACATAAACATCCAGGGTTAAAGAAATAATTTTACAAATTGCCTTAACAAAGGTATTCAATTATCAAGATGGGGATGTGTGTGAAAGGTAAGTCATAATTTCCTTCTACTCATGAACCCAGCCTGATTAATTTATTTTGGTCTACTTAACACTTAGCCTACAAAAGTGATTTCAAAAGATCCTCCAGTCTGTCACTGCCAGTGTGCTCTCCTCTGGGAGTGGAAACATGAGCAGCAGCCAGGTGTGTCCTGGTGTTATCTTAAAAGGCACCTGCAGGCTGCAGTGTTGCCTTGATTATCTGCACACCTCTACAGACGCTCTGCTTAGTTTTGCTCATAATGGTTGTACCCATCACCGGCTGTAGAGACGGGGGAAAGCCAGCAGAAGAGACTAGTCAGATATTTCGGTCACTGTTGTTCAAGTTAATGGGAGGGAAGAATAATGTGGGTGTTTTGTCAGTTCCATGAGTGTTTTTGTTTCTACCATGTGGCTCTATGAGACACAGTGTGTAAGGGATGGTGATGTTCCTGTTGGAAGGTAAACCCATCTTGGCTTAGAAATGGCCTTTTTCTGCAAGCATCAAACTATTCCCTCTGATCAAAAGGTGTTCAGCTTTGTGTTCAAGTAGAATAGATTACTTTTCCTTCCATTTGAAAGCATGTATGTAGTGTCTTAAGACCAGAATGAAGGTCAGATATCTTCTGAAGGCATAGCTTCCACTTTTGTAAGGGTGGATGATGGAAAAGAGATTGTGTTGAATCTGAGCTTCCCAGTCTGTGTAGGAAAAGGTGAGCATGTCTCTTCTTCGATGCCAGTGTGATTTTGCTTGGCTCAGGGCAAAAGTATCACACTTGCTGGGTCAGATTTGGAAGTCATGGCATCAGAAGATGGGGTACCCCCAGTTCCCTATAGAAGCGAGCACCTAGGCAGGTTCTTGGTAAATTCAGTCCCCAGATCTGGTGCAGGCACAAATCAAGGCATGCAGCCCACCTTGCTGTGCCACTGGTCTCTGCTCTGCTGAGTGGGAACCAAAAGGAATTAGTTTGATGCTTTGCTGGAGTCCCAGGCTATTCAGTGCTATTATGAATTCTACTATCTAGAAAGCAGTTGAACAAGAAGAAATGATGCTTTACTGAAAGGTGACCCTGTTACAGCTGACCTGATGAATTTGCCAGATAGTGTTTCTATGTTTGGATTGTGTTGTAGAGAAGCATTGTGCAGTCAGTCCTTGGATGAAGCCAGGCTTAGGGTTTACGAAGTACATTGCGCGGACTGTGGGCTGAAGGAGAAATTATGAATCTAGAGAGCTCAAGGATGTTTTATCAGTCTTGAGTGGTGTGACTGTCAGACCTGGGGGTGGAGATCTGAATGTTGCAACAAAGTCAGAAGTCTAGAAAACAAGCAAAATCCTGTGGGAGTCTGCCCAGTGGGGCATCCCTGCTCAGTTGCAAGGAGACTTCCGGTGGGAGCAAAACAAAGCACCTGTATCCTACCAGCCTAATCTAATGGCCCTTGGGTTATTAGAAAAGGCAATTAACAGTTGGACCCTTTCCACATTCATCACAATAGTCAAGAGACTGTAGATTTTTATTGTATTCTGAGGTGAGTTCCTCCCCCCTCCTCCACCCATAAAGTATGTTGACTCTGTTATATTATTGTTAACTACTACAGAGCAGTGCTTCCACAATGAGATACTTTTTTAACCAGGTCTTGCAAATTGATCCCTGCCAAGTCAGTTTGAAGTCTTTGTTTTGCTGCTTTTGCAGGAGTCTTGTGTTTTCCGGTAAATGTTCAGGATAATGCCTTTTTTTTTTGACTATAGTATTTTCCCACTGAGCTGTGTCTTGTCCACAGTCCTTAACATACCTAAAGGAAGGGGTGGGAAAAAAAAAAAAGCAGAGTCCTCACCTGCAAGCATACAAATAAACTGTTCCACTAGGGTGTCCACTTCTATCCAAAGGGCTTCCTGATGGACACGGCTGCGCTTACAGCTGAGAACTTTATTTCCATGCTGCAGATGTCATCTTCCTGTTATGAGTCATGTGTTTTGCATTTTTCTTCACATAAAAAAAATGCATAGGTCTAGATATATCCACCCGAATCTGAACTGCTTGTGATACTGCCTGCAACTCCTGCTAGGCCTGGCTGCATAGGTCAACGTTTCCAGAACTGATATACCTAAGAAGCATTTGAACCCATATTTTGAAATTTGAATTGGTGGCCAGCTTTTTTTTTTTTTTTCTTTGAAAGGATCTAAAGGAGATGTTACTATCACCAAAATCAGTGCCAGCTCCGAGTTCTCAGGTCTGACAGGAACAAATGCCTGTTTTTGTTTCCTCCACAGCTCCACTCCAGTTCCACAAAAATCTGAAAGGAAATTCTGCAACATGGAAAATACTAGATGTCTGACTCAAAGCATGTTGAAATGCAGGCAAATCACTATGATGGGCTTTGGATCAGGTCCTAAGTAAACTAATTCTTGAACTGTCACCTCTGGTCATAATGGCCCTTTATTCTGTCTTTTTAATGGCAAATGATTTTGTTATAAAAAGCCTTATGTAATTTCTGGCATGGTTAGACCTCATATACGAAAGGTGTGTAATCTTAGAAATGCTCTAGCTGGTTTCTTAGGTTGTGTAACAAATAATTATGGAATCTCGCTGAGTCTTGCTTTATTATTATAGAGCTCCAGGCTTTTACCCCCAGTTGCTTTACATGCTTGTTAATATTTAAGCTATCTTGTAGCTTGGGTAATTTGTAATGACTTTTTTGTTACTGAAGCTAATATTAAACAAAAGTTGTTGGGGGAAAAGCGAAAGGTGTGATGGATGAGTTGTTTTTCTGAAAGTGCTTTTCCTAATTTTAATAGCTTTTGGCTGATTTGCAAATACAAATACGAAATAGAAAGCTCTTCCAAAGCTTTTCTTGTGCGCTTCTCTGGCTAATCAGGAATGCCCAGCACCACTCTTCTCAGCAGATTGGGCAATGGTGGACAAGCAAGTTTGCCAGGAAGAATACTCTTGTATGAAATGTAGATACCTCTTAAAGATGGTGGTTTTGCATACTAAAACTAAAGCTCTAGCCAAAACACTATTAAAACGGAGGAGGTCTTCTGACTACAGAAAGCATCCAGGCCTGTAGAGAGGGCCCAAAGACTTCAGCCACCCTTTGCTATAAAACAAGGTGGAAAAGACAGTTCTTGTTCCTGCTGCTTTTGTCCCATCCTGCTGAACCATTGAATCTTTCTCTGTCTGCACCAATTAAAACCCAAGAATTTTCTAGTTACATCTGTGGTCTCTCTTCAGGATCAGAAAAAACAGAAAAATTTTGTGTAAAATTGGAGTAAGTCTTGAGCTGGGCTGGTGCTTCTGCTTGCACAGGTGGTAGCCAAGGCTTCAAGAATGGTATGTGCAACTACAAATGATCCTGGTATCACGTGGAGGGCTTCAGGCATGACTCGCTAACCTCGCCCTGCTTCCACCAGTTTTCATGGTGGCCTTCAAGGGGAGCTGAGGTCAGTGTGCTGCATGACTACAAAATCCCATATTGCTTACTTAAAGACAAAGGGACAGAGCTACACACCTAATAGTGGTGACATACATAGGTCCAAGCTGACCTGCTAAAGTTGGGATATGTCTGGCTTTTTGATATACAACTCAAATGGTTAAAAACTCGTCATAATAGTTCAGGTAGGCTCTGAAACAACACAACACAGGAGTGAGACTTTAATTTTCTTATGAAAACCAAAGATCCAAAGCTAGTTCCAGTTGAAAAAAACTTGTAGCATCAGGTACAGATAATTTGTTCATGAATACCAATTTATATTTATTTGGATAATACGTGTCCGTGGTATACTCAGCACTCAAATCCTGTACGTAGTTGCAGGCCTCCCACCCTTGTGCATTTGCTGCCACCTCTGTCTGTCACAACAAAGTACAGTAAAGGTGGAAGAGGTTCACAAGTATGATCAAGATGAGGAATGATTCTGAGTCATCTTCAACACGTGACTTGGAAGGCGATATGATACAGGTCTCAAGGTGAGAGAGAAAAGTGCTTAGGGGAAAGGCTGCAAAACTCTCCCAGATGACATTCATTGATCCTGTGGTCTGTTATTGGGTGGCACATGGACAGCGAAATAGCAAGAGATGTTTCTTTGCATGACACAAATCTAACTGGACTTGAATTGAAGAACAAGGCATGGGCTCAAAAAAGTGACAGGACAAAACTGTGAAGGAAAAGTTCTTCAGGGCTATTGAGTACAAGGGTCCTGTTTTGGCTCAGGAATATCCTAAGCACCAAGCAAGTGTAGGAAATACTTTGGAAATACATTTTCCTTCTGTTGAACATGCCCTAAGCTGTAGAGAGTAGGTATGCTGGAGACAGGACCATGGGCTAGGCAGATTCTTACTTTGACATAGAACAGGTAATTTTTTTAAATTTTACATATTTGGGGATTTTGGAACTGAGTGGCTTCCTATGAAAAGATGCCTAACAATTAGCACAACGTAGCTTGGTGTTCTTTATGACATTTTCTATTAATTATGGGTCATTGGAAACAGCTATATAGGTTGGATGTAAACTTGGGCTTTAAGTGAGACGTATTTGAGCTTCACAGGGTGTGTTGGAGTTCATTTGAACAGAGCCAGGGAAGAGGTAATTCTCCTGGCAAGGCATGCTGGAGGTAGTCTGGCAAGCCTGTCTGCCCTGCTTGGGTCTTTCAGCATCCTGTACAGGTACAGGCTGGGAGATGATGTTGCCAGAGCTCCCAGGTTCAAGTGAAATGTATGGGCCCCTGGGGCGATGAACAGTGTAGTATTCTGTGCCACTCTGCAGGTGCATGCTAATGTCCAAAAAGGAGACTCATTCCCTTGCTTTCCCACATCAAAAGGCTGGATTCCTTCCTCTTTGTAGGCTTTGTGGGCTTTTCTCTGATTGCAAAGCATGAAACTGGCTCTGCAAATTCTTTTTCATACACAACCTCTATTCTTACTGGTCCCGTTTATATCAGTGAAACAGTACTTGCAGGTTTAAGATTTTTAATTTTTTTGTAGCTAAGCCCTATGTTCATAGCTCAAATGTGACCAATTTTACCCTATGTTTCTTCTGTCATTATATATCTTTTAACCAAGGCAAAATTATTTCAGTGAATGCAAATATGTATGTATTGGTACAGCCAGGAAAATAGGGTATTCAGCTGTTTTTGTTGTGTAAGGGTAAGTGGTGAGTTGTTAAATAACTGAGACTTCTTAAAATATTGATACGATTGTTTACATCACGTGTGTTGTTAAAAGGAATGAGCCCATTTGCTGATATTTTTGTCAGAGTATATTCATAATAATTAAGGGGCTTTTGTTGTTGTTTTTCTCCTTATTTTGCGGGAAGGTACTACATAAAGCAGGTACAGGAGGAAATACAGCAAATGAAAAGCAGCAGTATGTTTTTTGGTGTTGATCAAGTCTCTGACAAATAAACCAAATAAATGAAAATTGAATAATTACAAATAGGATTTTTTCCTCATAATAGAAAAACTGCTTTTGGCTTTGTCCTCACTCATTATAATTCTATTAATGAAAATATGTAAATACCGTCAAGTTTTTCTGTATATTCAATCTGTAGAACTAAAGGTAAGGAGAGAAAGCCTCACGCAAGTATGGTACCAGTCAAACTTCTTTACTAGCCTGTACCTATAAGCATCTTGTTCAAGTATGTTTTTAACTTGATACGGATGATCAACACTACACGGTTATCACATATCAGTGTAACTTGAATGCTAGTTGTGTTTACATGATAGAAAATGATGACACATCTATGCATTGATGGGCAGAAGGGAACCCCCAGGGCAGTGCATTCAGAGCTGCACACAGTGATAAGAATATTTAAATTGGAGTGTTACAAACCTCTTGACTTGCTGCTAGTGCAGACAGAGGTACAGCAAGGTCTTTGGGAGACAGTCAAAGTTGTTCCCTTCTCCTTTCTCTACCTCCTTCCAGCTGCTGCTGTGGATGTTAGTTGTTCATCCTGAGAGGCAGCAGTGGTTGGCAGGGCTTGGGCAAAGCGTCTGTCTTTGCAGACAACCTGTGGAGCACCTTTGGCTAGAAGAACATAAATCCATGATTCTTTGGACCTCAAGACTGTCTCCAAAGTCGCAGTCCTTGTATGTGAGGAAGCAACTTTCCTCGACTTTGTTAGAGAATGATTAGTTACTGTTCATGGGTATCTGAATGACTTGTGCCTATTGTGACACTCCCTGAAGAATAAGCATGCATTTTGAAGTCTTCAGGGTTTTTTTTGTGTTATGTCCATCAAGGAAATGGGGCATTGGAAGACCTTGTCTGGTTGTCTTCCAAGACAAGTTGCTCATTGTTTTCACCTCCCACTGGAGTCAAAAGGCTCCTTCTGTTTATGGTAAGGATGGCATTGCACGAGACAAACTTTTCCAGTCTGTCTGGGGCAGAGCCTTGCAGTCTGTGGTATGGGCTGTTAATGTACAAAAGCAAGCATGATTGGCTCTTTAACGTATTCTTTGCTGCATGCTGAAATCCTCAGAAGTGGATGCAGCCTGGTTGTGGTAAGCTTGGCACCCTGAAATCCAGTGGGTCCCTCACAGCTTGCTCTGGTTGTGGCCTTAAGGTTCTTTGCAATAAGTTTAAGATCCAGGTTGCTTTTTACGTAATCAGCATGTTCAGCAGCTTAAGATCTCAAATCTGGTCCTTGTATAGGAGAGTTTAAAGAAATGGGGCAGAGAGATGAAAATGTGTAACAAACTAATGCTGAAACTCATCATTAAAACTCATCAAATTAACAGATGAAAATCAGTTTTATGATTAATTTTTTTTTCCTTTTTGCCACAATGAGCCTATTGCTCAAAACCAAGTTTCATGTTAGTGTTTGAACCTTCTAATTTGAACACTTATTTGGCCTTTTAATAATACAGGGGACAAAAAAAAATACCCCTTCATGAGCCTTGTTGCTCAATTTGGCTGGAGTTTCCCAGCCTATTTATAGAATAGCAATTAAGATTAATGTATAGCTGCTCACATATAGTTCCTGGCTCTGCTAGGTTTTGAGCCACTCCCAACAAGATCTGAATGACTGAGATATTTAGTGTCCATGAGAACTCCTGCTGAAATCAGCTGGAGATATCTGTCATGTAGATACGTGTGTACCTTGAAAGCAAATGTGTCTTATCTTTCTTTTTTGGTATCATCAACTCTTTTTTTTTTTTTTTTTCTGTTGTGCAATGAAATTGTGAGGCTGAAGCTAAACAGAACATGCTTCCCAGTCAATATATGGAAATATACTTTCAGTATTTCTCAGTCAGGTCTTGCCACTGAATGGGTAAATTTTCAAATAAATAGAAGGGAACTCATTACATGCATTCATTACTATGGGCCTTTTTCTTGGAAGAGGTGTAAGTCATGCATACAACTCAGATGTCTTATGACTGTTATGAAGTAGTGAAATACAATGATTGGTTTGTGGTATGTTTTACTGGTTGCCAGCTTTTACGGCTTGTGCACATGGACTTGGATGTAACTGTGCTGCACTTCATATAGTGATGGCTGATAGATCTCTGTAGGAGATGCTGCTTGCTGGCCTTGCATCAGAGGAGATGGACGGACAGTACTTATGAAAGCAACCAACCAAAGTAACTCAAGCAGTGTTCAATCCTGTTTTGCAAGCAATTAAATAAGAATGAATATGAGGATGAGGGTACAGTTTCGTCAGACCTCATCACATTTGTGAGACCTGTAGGCACCAGCATGCTAAGCCAGGCTTCTTGTCCTGGTGAGGAAAAGCAGAACTGTGCCAAAGGGAAGGGTCCCATGTCTTAGATTTTTATCTGAGTTAGACTCAAGTCTGGGTGCATATGACAGCTCAGAAATTGCAAAACCTCATTTCTAAAAGGATACTATAACAGGG